GATATCAGGAGAGCTTAGGGACAGGAAGTGGACTGATATCAGGAGAGCTTAGGGACAGGAAGTGGACTGATATCAGGAGAGCTTAGGGACAGGAAGTGGACTGATATCAGGAGAGCTTAGGGACAGGAAGTGGACTGATATCAGGAGAGCTTAGGGACAGGAAGTGGACTGATATCAGGAGAGCTTAGGGACAGGAAGTGGACTGATATCAGGAGAGCTTAGGGACAGGAAGTGGACTGATATCAGGAGAGCTTAGGCACAGGAAGTGCACAGATATCAGGAGAGCCTAGGCACAGGAAGTGCACAGATATCAGGAGAGCCTAGGCACAGGAAGTGCTCGGATATCAGGAGAGCTTAGGGACAGGAAGTGGACTGATATCAGGAGAGCTTAGGGACAGGAACTGCACAGATATCAGGAGAGCTTAGGGACAGGAAGTGGACTGATATCAGGAGAGCTTAGGCACAGGAAATGCACGGATATCAGGAGAGCTTAGGGACAGGAAGTGGACTGATATCAGGAGAGCTTAGGGACAGGAAGTGGACTGATATCAGGAGAGCTTAGGGACAGGAAGTGGACTGATATCAGGAGAGCTTAGGGACAGGAAGTGGACTGATATCAGGAGAGCTTAGGGACAGGAAGTGGACTGATATCAGGAGAGCTTAGGGACAGGAAGTGGACTGATATCAGGAGAGCTTAGGGACAGGAAGTGGACTGATATCAGGAGAGCTTAGGCACAGGAAGTGCACAGATATCAGGAGAGCCTAGGCACAGGAAGTGCACAGATATCAGGAGAGCCTAGGCACAGGAAGTGCACAGATATCAGGAGAGCTTAGGGACAGGAAGTGCACGGATATCAGGAGAGCTTAGGGACAGGAAGTGGACTGATATCAGGAGAGCTTAGGCACAGGAAGTGCACAGATATCAGGAGAGCCTAGGCACAGGAAGTGCACAGATATCAGGAGAGCCTAGGCACAGGAAGTGCACAGATATCAGGAGAGCTTAGGGACAGGAAGTGCACGGATATCAGGAGAGCTTAGGGACAGGAAGTGGACTGATATCAGGAGAGCTTAGGCACAGGAAGTGCACAGATATCAGGAGAGCCTAGGCACAGGAAGAGCACAGGGGTCACCTCGTATTCCGGGGTCGGCCGTCACCTTTTGTCTCCTCCCATTGCAGGCCTTGGATTTTAAGGCGGTCCCCCTACAGACGGGCGAGGAGGTGGAGTACATGCTGGCACTGAAACAGGAGCTAAGAGGAGCCATGAGGGGTCTTCCGTACTACATCAAACCAGCCGCGCCAAAGAAAGGTACCCGCCCCCCCCAACAACATGGCGGCTTCAAGGGGAACTCCCACGTTCCCTTCAGTCTTATACTGGTTCCCTCCTCTGGTAGTCCTGAAGCTCGGCGCCCCTCCCTGCAGGTTCCTCCCGGTCTGTGAGGTTGTCCATCATTGTTATGAGCCAATAGGAATGTGTGCGGAAGGGAGGCTTCTGGTTGGTCAGCCATGACGGGTCCCCATAAGAGAATATGGCTCCTCCCACTGATGATCTATGGTTCAGTCCCGTGGTCAATATTCGGGTTCCATCGTTCTGGGTCCTCCTGTTCTATCGGGTGGACGTAGATTCGGCTCCGGGTTGGCTCTCTGATCTATAGCATGCTGGCAGTGGGAGGGGTTATATCTGGCTGGCCAATCACTGGTGTCCGCATCCTCCTATAGGTGGCAGTATAACCCAGTGGTATCAGAATCAGTCCGGTGTCCCGGAAAGGTCATTTCCACCGTAATAAATAAATAGACAAATCTTCAGAAAGGAGAAATGTGAATTTATGATGTTTATGGAGCCGCGATGCTCCGCCCCCTGCAGAGTCTTCCT